AAATTTGTCAAGTGTTACAAACAGAAATGAAGTTATAATGCAGAACAACTCTGTGAAGAACTGGGAAACCATTTTTGCAGTACGCATCAAAATTAAAACACAAAAAATTGAAAATAGAGTACAACACTTTGTATTAAAAATTTCAAATCTTCCTTTATAATATGCGACACTATGTTCTTTTCTGAAATAAACAAAGTTATTTCCATCCATTTATCATAAAAATTGAGCTAGATAGAGCATTTTTAAACACAACGCTTAAAATTGATTAAGCGCCTAACAGGAACGGACATTTAAACGCAGTGTAGCAACGGGCATTTAAACGCGCACCAGCAGCGGACATTTAAATAAACTCCGGCCAGCTCAAGCTTACCACTATTTCGAAGTCCGGCGTTTAAAGGTTAAACTAAATTGAGAAGAAAGCAAAAACTAAAATTTAGAAAAAAGAACTTGATATACAGTAGAACCCCCATTTAACATTCGTTACTTTAAGATTTTCCATCATTTAATGTTCAATTTCAATTATTCTAAGTCAACAACAACANATACTGTTGGATCCAGATAAGCATAACTGAGTATTTTATGTTTTGTATTATTTATGACATGTTTTATATCCATTTTTTGGATCTTTGAAACTTGTTATTGTTTGATTCATTGTACTATCTAGTCGTGTAATTTATGCATGTATCCTGTTTTATATTTAGTTCTGTGACATGTTCTATATCCTTTTTTGGATTTCTTGAACAAATATAAATACAAATACAAATACAAATCTAGAAAAACCGAAGCGAACGGAGAAGTTCATGGAGGTAGGCCTAGGCTCACTGGAGCTGTAGTGCCAAGAAAAAAAAAATTTTTTGCTCAGTTTAGCATTCGATTTCTCTGCTCAAAAAAAGAACTCTTCGATGGGGATTTCATTGTGTAGAGAAACAAGTGGTTTCAGCATGCCTATCAAATATAAGACTACAGGTTCCCAGAAGAGACCCTGAAATGACGTGTAATATGAAGATGTGTCTATTGGATAGCATTGGGATCGACTGGAGCATCCTTAAATAAAAATTTCAGACAACACTAGGACAAGAAATACAGTAAATATCTTTATGTGGGCACAATTAGACACTTCCAGCATTTAATGATCTGAATACACTGAATATATTGAAGGTGGTGATGGCAGTTGCAACAACAATGACAATGATGATGGGTGGTAGCACTACTTACAGAACATTGTCCCCTAAAAGAACACCTTTTAAAAATGGGATTGACAGAGAGCCCAATTTGGGAAAGGTGCCTAGATGAAGACAAATCAGCCATATATATCCTATATGAGTATGAGGCCATAGCTTACTTAAGATTTTGTCATCTGGGCCAGTATTTTATACATCCAGACAACTATCATGATGGCCTTGCTGCTGAAGGGTTAAAATAGAGGATTATGCACAATAGATCACTAAAGGTTGCAATTAGACCCACTCCTTGTGTGTGTGAATGTGTTCATGTGTGTGTATGCATAGAAGTGCTTACCAATTTTGCTTTTTGGTTACACAGACTGAAGGAAAGGGGGCACAGGTTTCTGATCATGTCCCAGACATGAAAATGAATCTACTTGCCTTGGAGTGTTACAACCATAAATTTTTTGTTGTTCTTCCATAAACCTGTTTTATCTTCTAAACTTCATTTTTATATTTAAAATTCACTTATATTTAAGTCATAGAATATTAAATAATAAAGCCACTCACCACATCTGTGTATAATCCCAGATCAATGAAAGGGTTTACAGCCACCAAGATGTCTCCAATGTAGGTATAAATTTGATTCTGTTCAAATCGATGCTGTAATTGTTCCACAATGCCATCCTGAAACACGTATACATTCTTAATCTGTTTCTTCTCTATATGATATATGATATAAACTCCATCCTAAGAGCAACAATTTATTGTAGGTCTTTCGTCTTGCTTTCTTCTACACTACATGTTTCGGCCGCAAACGGCCATCATCAGGTGTATACACTCACGTAGCTGTTACACTGCACCCAGTTTAAAATTTAAAAACATACAGGACTTCCCAATTGTTCCCTTCGTCGCTGCTAACAGGATCTACTTCGCTGATATTTGTCTGATTCGTACCTCATCTTTGCCACCCACACACGTCAATTTTAACATTCATGAATTGGCACTTTTAAAATCTTCAGTTCCAATTTTAACAATTCTTTTAAAATTTATTCCTTAAAANTGAATCAGACAAATATCAGCGAAGTAGCTCCTGTTAGCAGCGACGAAGGGAACAATTGGGAAGACCTGCATGTTTTTAAATTTTAAACTGGGTGCAGTGTAACAGCTATGTGAGTGTATACACCTGATGATGGCAGTTTGCAGCCGAAACATGCAGTGTAGAAGAAAGCAAGACAAAAGACCTACAATAAATTGTTGCACTTAGGATGGAGTTTATATCATACGTATATATCATACAGAGTGCAACAGGATGCTTAAATATAATACTGTTTCTTCTCAGTTCGTGTATTATGTTTCTGGACATCATCCATCCCCCTGCCAACAAATATCACACAACTGACAGGGATTGATTTCGTTGCACCATATTGCTCACTCCTTCAGAGCTCTCTGGTGTGCAAACTGAACATGTACTACTGACAAAGCGTGAAGTTCTATGAACACAAACACAAAAGTCCTTCGTTCTCTTTAAAACTGTACCCCACATTGAAATTCTATGCCTTGGCACAACAAATTCCAGCCTAAAATTTCCTTCTGCCAGCCAATGAACGGTGACTCAGAAAAGAAAGTTAAACATACAATTATTCATTGGCCAATTCGCTATGATTATTGAAAACTGCTTCAACTTAGGAGTGGGTCCACACACATACATCTTCCCCAACTTCACTCCTCTTTCTATAGCAGCGTATTATGGAACACAAGATCCCAGTGGCAGACCCTGTACTGTCTGCCAACAGCTTCACTTCCTACCTCGGACAGGATATCCAAAGCTGCCAAGTCATCCATGTACATGGGTTGAGGCTTTGATTTTCGATCTGGCTTAAGCTTTCCGTGCTTTGTAGTCACCTCTGGCTGTCGATGAGAGCTGCCTTCAGCCCTCTGTCTTGAGATTTCTGCCTGCAGCTCCAAGCGAACCTGAACACATTGTTATTACAATATAAATCTTCTTCAATTTTGAAACTGTGCTATAATGACAGACATATGTGCTGAAAAGTATGTTAATTGTTTACTTTTATGAGTTAGTATTATTTCTTTGGCCAGTATGTTAGGTTGTAACCACACATAATCTGGTAGATGGGTACCTATAAACCCCCACTCAAGACAGCTGACCCCTGGGTTGCAAATGAAAGCCGTAGCTCCCAGAATATGAAGCAGGATGCCTAATCATTTAATCACTTTAGGTTTTGAAAACACACACCTTGGTGAAGTGTATGCATTGAAGAGTATTTTGTAATAGTCAATGCGTTTACCAGTGAACTTTAGTGCATGCAATGTTGCTCACCTTATCTGCACAAATAGCACCGCGCCTCATGAACGGGTGCTCCAATAGCTCCCGGATAAATGGACGCTCTTCTAGGTCCTTCACCAGACACTCAGATATGAAGTCCGGTAGCAGTTCTGGGGTATAGTCCTCTGGATGGGATAACTGTGGAGGGGGATTTCGCGGTATCTGGAAGAGTGCCCGCATAGGATGAAGATCTGATAATGGTGGATCCCCTTCAGCCAGTTCAATGGCAGTTATGCCAACTGACCATACGTCACATCGCGAGTCATATGATGAATCCAGCTGCTGCTCACATGCTATCACCTTCAATAGAAAAAAAAAAGTTAAAAATCAGCCTTTGTTTTGAATGTTATAGCAGGAAACATCCTCGTGTTTCAACATCTTGAGCTGTGTGTGCCATATGTTGCAATAATGCGGCCAGATGAAGTTGTGTCTGTTCCTCAGTGCCACACCATAAAACATACAGGAAACTTGGAGGCAATACCAATAATACTTTAAAGTGACAAAAAAATATTTTACAGACAAAATATTCCATAAATTAGCAGTACCTCAAGAAAACTGTAACCATGTCATGGCCAAACTGAGCGATTTAAATAAGAGAACAATAAGTGAGTTCAGGCAATATTCTGATACACATTATACCGTGCCTAAACATGTCATCATTAGATAGTGATATCAGTCTTTAGAAAGCTATTAGATTCTATTTTCAACATACACCAGGAACCAGAATTTCAATATCGGAGATCTTACTCAACACACAAGACATTTCCACTAGACTGTTATCCACTGAACGTACTAGGTGCACTCAGAGAAGTTTCAGACAGATATATATATATATATACAATATTACCTCAGGAGCCATCCAGTATGGTGTTCCAACAGAAGTGTTCCTGCGACCAAGAGTAACAGCAAGGTGGGAAGATACTCCAAAGTCCACAAGCTTCACATGAGCATCTTCTGTCAGTAATATGTTGTGCCCTTTGACATCTCTGTGCATGCAATGATTGCTGTGAAGGTATATAAGAGCCTGCCAAAATAAAACACAAATACAGGAAATATCAGATATACACACATTTCTTTCGTTGTTCGAAGTATTTGTCAGAACTAATTCTCAACAATCTTAAAAATACCAATGGAGCCTATGCAATGAACTAAGACAAATTAACACAAAAGTTTCATTTATTAATCAATGATACTTATTACAGTTAGAAAAGTACCAATTAAATACATTCTTGCAGGAACATTTCAATGTCTCCTTTGAATCTAGATGCAGAAATCACAGATCTCTGATTCCATCTCTCATTGCTTAATATGCACAGTCTACAGCAATAACATTGTATTATTTGAAAGCACTGATGTAGAAATCCTGTTATTTCACTTTCCATACCCTAATCAACAGCAGATAACAGAGTATGGTAGGGCCCATAATGCAAATGGAATTCACAGAGTCAGCTATGTGATGGTTACTGGAAAAATCATCAGCAAATGACTATCAGAATTGCAATTCACAAAGCATAAATGCTACACATTCTTGTAAGATGAATTATATTTTCAGTGACTGGGTTCATTCATTCATCAGTAATCTGTCAGACGACAGGTCCACAGTCTCTTCCAAAACAGTTCCTCCACTTAATGCGATCTTCTGTTTTTGGAAAGAGACTATCCAGGAAAAGTGATAATGTGGTAGTTTTTCCATTTGCTTTCCACATCGCAGTACAACTGCCGTTCAAACCACTCTGGTCACGCCTGTTGCTATACGAACTTGAACCATCTCGAGCATCATTTGCTCTGTGCTTCAAGTCGCTGCTGATGACGCTGCTTCCGGCATCAGTTTTTGGTGTCTCTCTTCGTCTGATGCCTACCCTTTGACCTGTCCAGCAAGGGAGGCCCTGCCAGTAGCTACGCTACCGCTGGTATAGCTCTCAGGGTCCTTGGCATACTCAAACCCCCTCACCACGATAAGGTGGAGACACCAACGAGGTGTGACTGGGTTACATATAAAAAATATGACAAATTTTCATCTCTTCTTACTTTCAATCTTCTTCCATTTAAGTATACTAATATTATATCATTTAAAACACTGTTATACTGATTTTAGTATTTCCCAGGCTTGTCCTTCAGCAGTATATCATTTTAAACATTAAAGTCAACAATCTCTGTTCACAATACATTCACTTCACCTTTCACTGTTAGTGAGCCAGATGGCTCATGAATTCAATGTGTTCAGATCTAGCTGAACACTTTTCTTTTCTAGAATGAAGAACTGAAACTACAGAGCAGCTTATGAAATGATCCAGTATTTGATCTATTAATAAAATTTTTATTTCAATTACAGTACTAGAAACTAACATACAGAAAGAAAGACCATTGCATGGAGATTTATCCTCTGTGAATCAAGTGTTCAATATGACCACCATTAGGTCTGGCAACTTCTTCAGCACGAACTGTGATGTTGGTTACCCGATGACACATATTCTCAGTTATATCGTTGCAGGTCTGAATGGTTAGTGCTCTTAATTCAATAATTGCAACTTTTTTGGAAAAATCTTTTCCTTGAGGAACCCTCAAAGAAAGTAAGTCACATGGATTTAAATCAGGACTATTCGGGGGCCAGTTCTATCCACATTCAAAACGATCAGGAAACCGGTTTTAGATGACACCCCTGTTGAAAATGTCATACAGAAAGTCCAAAACAACATTTGCTGTGTGCGGCCTTGCTCAAGCCTTCATGAACCACTCAGTTTCTAATGGCAAACCTGTAGCAAGAAGGTGACTAATGCTACTAATGCGCAACATGCAACACTGTTCACTGTCTCTTCAAAGAAAATTTCCCATAGCAGTCCATGACGTGAGATGACGACCCAGGCTGTAATTCTCAGTGCATGATGCATCTTCTCATGAATCACACGTGGATTCCCTGACATCAAAAATTACACACTTTGTTTATTAGCCACCCCATCCAAGTGGAAGTGTGCCTCATCAGAAAACCAAACATTGTTGAATGATACCTCATTATTCTGAGCCAATTCAGCAAATGCCATTCTTAGATGTTTGTTCTGAACTGTAAGTTTAGGCAGCACTGTCATTTTGTATGGATACAAATTCAAATCAAGCTGGTCACAACATCATTTTGTTGCTATGCATCAGCAATAAGACATAATCTAGAAGCCAGCGTCTAGATTCTTCACCTAAATTGATCACTGACCTTTGATTGCTTTGTATTCATTTGAATAAGGGAAGACAGTTAGCAAATACATTCTTAGTCTTCCTGTTAAAGTCTGTTATGTGCTTAAATTATTTGGCATCACTGGGTCCTCTTTTCAGTTAAATGTTCTTCCACATATATATAATCTATGAACTATAAATTGTAAATTGTTATTTACACCCCAAGTTATGTTTCCTCCGAGTTATTTCCTACATTCAGTCCTCACTCCTATGGGTATATACATTACCTCTACTGTTTCTCTAATTATGTATGCTATCTGATCCTCTGTGAGACGTTCATTGCGGTGTTTCAATCCTTGAACCAGATCTGTTACTGAACCTCCAGTACATAGCTGAAACATAACACATTCAATCACTGAACTGGCAATGCAAGCTGAACCATAACGCAGTGAATTATCAATAACATGACACAGTCCATAGTTGAACAAATACATGAAACAACAAAACAAATTGAAGGGTTCTATCTTTAGATATAACACAGTGTAATCCGGTGAAAGTCAACAGACTTTTCTGAGAAACATATTGGCTCCATCTTCAAGGTTGAAGAGTACATCAAGCAAGATGCCAGCGTGAAGCAGGCAGCAGTAAAATAAATTACTGAATACCACTAAAATGAAAGGTAAAAATGTAAAGTTGCCCCATGTCTATTTAATAAAGAGCTATACCATGAAGATGTGTGGGGAAGTCGAGGTATAGATCCACCATTCTTGAACTTGGCACTAAATGAAGCTGAATGCTCAGCTCATGTCCAGGCCGCCTTACCCCCGGGGAAACAGTCCCAGGTACCCATTGCACAAGAAGATGGGTGGGTCTCAAAGCTGGTTTGAACTTTATGAAGAAGACAAAAATTCGTTGCTCCTTCCAGGAACCTAACCCCGGCTGTCCACCCAGTAGCCCGTCACAAAACCGACTGAACAACCCAGGCTCCTGCTGAACACCATTACAAAACTTAAACACAACACATTCTTCAATAAACCCCCTTACAAAACTAGAACATTTGGCCATGCCATAGCTCAAGCGGTTAGTCGTTTCCCACCGCGGCAGCCCGGATTCGATCCCGGGTCTGTTCAAGTGGGATTTGCAGTGGACAAAGTGGCGCTGGGGCAGGTTTTCCCCGAGTACTTCGGTTTCCCCCACCAATCTTAATTTCACCAATTGCTCCACAATCACCCTCACCTATCATCTGGGGCTGGTACATTAGGCCAGAAGTGGCTGCAGTACAAGGAAATTAGTCCCACCCCACTATCAATAAAAAAATAAGCTAGAACATAACATAATCCATCACTGAAGAACCAATACAGTATATTTCATGGCTGTAACAGAACATATGTTATTAGAGAACCAGCACTGCAAGGCAGAAACATAACACTGCAGCATTGTAACACCAGTACAAAGCTATATTCGTATAGTCTCCATATTGATAGCGCCCTTAAACAACTAACTTAAGAAATGCTGAAACACAGAACACAGTGGTCGAGTGGACAGACACATGTTTACATATGTGGGAGGTACCTGCATCAAATATCTGACTGGAGACGGGCTATCTTGACTGTGGATTTCTTAAGCTCTTGAAGGGAATGCTGGGATAGCATCTCAAAGTACGCCATGACTCCTTCCTTCCCAATTTATTATTCACTAATTATTCAATCATTCGACATTACATAACGAACAACAGACAGCATCGTAAAATAAAGCATAAATATATACCTATAAACCTAAAACACACTGCAATTCTATTTGAGTGGTTCATATTCCTTCAGCAGAAAATCGTTTAGTGAAAAGGGGTCACTTTCGAATGACGATTACTTTTTGATGATTTCAAACTCTCAAATACTGCAGACAGGCAATACTCAGGTAAAGCCTGTTAAAATTCCCTACCGCCCATCACAAAACCCGCATTGACTATTCAGAAATTACACCCCGGCCTCTGCTCTGAGACTAATTTTCTTTATTGCTAGTGGGGTGGGACTAAGTCCCTTGTACCGCAGCCACTTCTGGCCTATTGTACCAGCCCCAGATGATAGGTGAGGGTGACTGTGGAGCAATTGGTGGAATGAAGATTGGCAGGTGAAACCGAAGTACTCGGAGAAATCCTGCTTATAAAAACAAGAACTGAAACGTGTATTAAAACGCGATGCACATACGTTACATATCAAAGGATTTTTCGTAATTCTTCATTCCTCAGTGATTATTATGCTAATGTACGTGCTGAAAATACTAATCTGTTATTGCAGATATAAATATATTCCTTGAGGAGCTAATGAAGCTAAGAGAACGGACTGAAAATTGTCAGAAATTACTTTTCATTACATTTCGGGAAATATTCGATATATCGAAATACGTTACAAATATAAATTGCAGATCTAAAGGCGCGTCCACATTACTCGTGCTCGTGCGTCAGAAGCTTACTGCTGCCAGAAAATCAGGATCTGGAGCTGATATCTGTTGTGAAGAAACGCGAAGGCTTTGTATGCAAACCAGTTTGGGGGTCCACTTCGTCAGCTCCAGATCCTAATTTTCCGGCAGCAGTAAGCTTCTGACGCAAGAGCACGAGTGATGTGGACGGGCCTTTAAAGAGATATGTGGTTTCGAGCTTTTGTATGATAAGCCTTTTTTAAGGAAACTGATAAAATTCGACTTGTGCCTCAAATAAGAGCGAATTTATTGGCTCGTTATAACCAGATTCTAATTAACAAGGTAAATTTTTGCGCAGAATCCCAATGTCAAATTTTATATAAATCTGTTCTGCAGCTTCATATATTAAAATATGCGGACGAACAGCCACGACCTCTACATTATGCACTTTATGCGACACAAAAAATGAACGTTGTAAGCCTAAAGAAATCTGAATTTCAACTTAATATGAAACTTTACTTCATTTCGTAAGATTTCAGGTTTTCACGGCGGGGACTATGAAGAACGTAGTCTTCTGGGATATGGCGCCGTGTAGATATAGTGTTAACCGACGTTTCGGAGGATCGTATCGCCTCCATCTTCAGGGTAAAAGACAAGAAGAAATCCGAGAGCGAACCAGCGTGAGCAGGTGCAACATCCCAGAAGACTGCTTTCTTCTTTCTTTATTTCATTGTCGGATTTCGTGTAACGGTTTCACAACATTCATTCCTGACTACAAGCGAATGGTCACAAAAATCACATGAGGTGAAGCTCTCCTTGTCACAGGCCGTGGAGGCTGTCACTCACTGGACAATTATAGCACTGACAACGTGAAATGCTTGGTGAACCGAATATGCACACAGCACAGATATAACACTTCAGTCGCTCCCAACATACAGCAGACTCGTACTTCAGAGACCACCTGTCGGAGAATCAAGGGAACTTCATGCAATATGCAGACGATGGTGGTCAACTGCTTTATTCACAAAATCCTGCCACTGGGTGGTATTTTGAGCCTGCTGAACCGCCTGTATCCTCGCATCACATTTCTTCAGGAAATACTTTAATATTATCCTTCAATCCTTATCTAGTTTCCCTAGAAGTCCGACCTCTTCAGGATTTTAGGAAAGTAAGAGACAAATTATTCCCAATATTTCTAACAAAACAAAAGAGAATGATCACATAAATAGCACTTAACTGTCTACTTTTAGAAGGTTACTCCCAAGGAAAGCACGGTAAACATAAATGATATAACATAAAAATTTTAAAAATATTTAACAAATTCCATTTCATAAAATGTGAAACTAAACTTTACACAATTCCACAAAATCTATTAATGTATCTCATACTCATTCAAATGTTTCAATAGTCATTGCTTTGGTACAAGTTTTAAACATCCTAACAACCGAGCGTCTAATGTTTCATCTGCCTTCGTAACTGAGTACACCTCAGGAAAACTGCTTAAAATTTGAATACTTTCTATATGAACACGTAGAACCCCTTTGGGCACCCCCTGGCACAGCCTTATAACTCCAGAGAAGTGACTGTCGGTAAGCTGGGTTTCTTTAGTCTGTTCACAAGAGTCTGTTACTAAAACCTATCCTGTGTTAGAAGAACTGGGAAGTCCTATATTTTTATCGAACAAAACAAATTAAATTCATTACCTCGAGTGTTTCAGAGTGATATTAAAATCTTATAATTCTCGAACACACGAAACATTCACACAACCACGTCTTGTTTATCCACTGCCCAGGCAGGAAGTTGCTGAATGTTACGATCTATCCATACCAACTTGAGTGATTACAGGCCCCCCCCCCCTCCTAGTCACTGGGCCCTGCACTGACCACTGACCTAGCTGAAAACTGGTCTGCAGCCAGTCTATCCATCTGGAGCACGCAAGTAGAGCATTTAACTGCTACTAACCAAAACAAGAGGAATAAGCAACAGGTGTATTGCTCCCTTAGTTCGCAGTGATGGCACACACAAGAGCAGGTTAAGTGACCAATATCCACTCTCCCATTAGGCACCATCGGGATTGCCCACATCCATTACTTGTTCGGATCAATGAAAATGGTGTCAAGTTTCAGGGTGGAATTACAATGGGACTTAAGGCATAAATATAAATCAAAATCTACGGGAACAAGCCTTTTTGAGTTTGCAGTATATACAGCTGACAGAGGAGGGGGGATTGTGATGATGGAGAAGTAAGTCACGTCTCATAATACACGGGGATTCTCTGAGTGAATTTAAGATGGCGCGCGCTCAAAGTGAAACGAATTACAGAAGATCGAAACGCGACTAGCAATGGGCCAATCCGCCATTAAGAAATCATAACAAATGTCTCAATGCTCCGTTATCTCAAAACTTACTTTAAACCGGCACGCACTAGGGAGATTAACCAATGAATGATGGGGACAGGGTCACGTGCGGTAACAGAAATATTCATGTTTCAGTAGTTAACCTACTAATGCGTCGCGCAATATAAAAACAACGACACGTACAGAACAAATGAGCGATGTAACTATAATCTGCAGAAGGTTCCGCTGCTGATGGAACCAGTAACGTTCGTAAACCCTTGAAGCCGCTAAATATATTATAAATACAGGGCTAATGAGTTTACATGTGAGTCTAAAGAAGAGTTTTTAAAGAGAGACGTGTCATGGTGAAATGAAAGGTGCTTTAAAACTGAACGCAAACTTAATATCAGATGGAATAAATAAATTAAATCTATTGAATTAAGGTGTTCCATAACAATATAAATTCCGAAATAACACATCCGTAACAAAAAATCCGTGGTTTTAGTCTGCAAGCGAACTATACCGACAGAGCGACCGCCGCTTGTCGACGAAGTTAGTGCCAACTTTAGCGGATAGAGAGTGTCGCGTGGTCAGCGCAACGGATCCCCACGGCCGTTAATCTCGGTTTTCTAGACCGGAGC